CTATAACAAAGCAGTCGAGAATTTGAAACGTTTAGTCATTTATGTCGACTCTGCCCCAGAATGTTATGTTATGAAAGAATGGGATGTAGTCTTTAACAAACCTAAAGCGACAATAGTTTCAGAACAAGAATGTAGACAGAAACTTAAGAAAATAAAAGTCGTACAAGTTGGCATGAAGATGTTAGATGCTTGGGATATCTTATTGTCAAAACTTGAAGATTTTTCAGTTCGTGGTATAAAGTTTATACACCTTCTCCAAACTTCTATTCTATCTTCACTGGATATAAATATGAACAAGTAGAATGGAAAGAAAATATTATAGAAGCTTGGTTAGACCATGTCAAAGAAATTATATGCAATGGAAACGAAAAGGTTTATGAGTATATCTTATGTTGGTTTGCAAACATCTTACAACATCCAAGTGCTAAAATGAAACTGCTCTCATTATAATTGGAAAACAAGGAACTGGTAAGAATACTTTCTTTACAGATATTTTGTGCAAACTGTTAGAGGGCTATTCGAATCCGAATATGACAAACTTAGAAAACATCTGCGGTAAATTTAACTCCTCAATAGAGAATATGAAACTTATAGTTTGCAATGAACTTCAAAGTATAGATACAACAAAAATTTTGAACTCAGATGCTTTGAAGAGTCTTATAACAGACAAAGTTGGAGTTGTTGAAAGAAAGTATAAAGACCAAAGAGTTTGTGAAAATGTTGCAAACTTCATTATGGTTTCAAACAATGCTGTTCCGATGAAGTTAGAAAGTTCTGACAGAAGATATGTAGTTGTCAGAACGTCAGATTCTCATATGCAAGATACAGAATATTTTGACGACTTAGCAGAAACTTTGACATCTGACTTTTTACAACCACTTGTTCTCATATTTCATGACATTAGATATTTCTAAGTTCAATCCAAGACAAATTCCACATACCGAAGAGAGACAAACATTGTTAGAAGCAAACAAGAGTGTATATGAACTGTTCATAGATGAAACTGACTTTGTGTCATTAGATGAAAGGTCATTGTACGATTCGTATAAACAATATTGTCAAGAATATGGTTATATGGCAGCGTCTAAACGTACATTCTTGGCAAATGTCAAAAGTCTTTTAGATGTTCAGAATGGTGTATATACAAAGAAAAATTTTTCTGAGTAAATTTAAAAAAAAATATTTTTTTATCCGATAGAAAAGATGGCAAAATTCATCTCAGTAAATAAGTACATGACAGAAGTCAAAGATAAGTTAGCTCCATTCGCATATTTGAATGTTTACTTCTACGATTTTGAAAAGTCTACATTTGACAAAATTTGGAACATTGCACCAGTTAAGTTTGCTGTTGTTAGAAAAAGTGGTGCAACTTTTGAAGACTTAGACATAGAAGGTTTGTTAACAGTCAAAGAAAATTTTGACAGAAAGTTCTCAAAACTCGAAGAAGGTAAAGCATACAAACTTGTTATACCTTATGAACCAAAGAAAGCAGACGACTATGAATATTATGAGTCTAAGATAGTTGAAGTTCAAGGTAAATTGGGTAAAAAGATTTTAGAGTCTAAGCCAGTGTTTACTCCTAAAGAGGAAGAGAACATTGACATTGACCCGGAAATGTTCTAAAAATAAAATTTTATTTTTACATGTCAAATTTCTTTTTCTCTGGAACTGGTTCAGGTTCTTTCTTCTCTTCTTCTACTTTCTTTTCTTTCTTTTCTCTCTTCTTCTTTTCTGGTGGAGTTATGTCAAATTTGGCGCAACCATATTTATGTAAAAGTTCTTTGTCCTTTAATAGCTCATTTATTCTGTTTTCTATTTCATCTTCAAGAACAGCGCATGTGTCTTCTTTGCATTCTAAGAACTTTTGTTGGACTTCATCTTTCCAATCGGCGTCATCTCTGTCAACAAGTCTGTCATTGACAAATTTTAAGACTGCTCTGCTTAATGTTTTATGGTTCTTGTCATATTCCCAGAAACAGAACTTTAGAACAAATTCACCTTTCTTGTTTACACTATGTAAGATTTTATGGTCGACAGATGTTTTGCTGTCGAAAAGCTTGTCTCGAATATAGATAGCGAAATCGCTAGACATTTTCTAAAAGATAAAAATTTTAATTTTTCTAAAAATATGTTAGAAAAAAAGTTTGCTGACATTGACAAGAAATTTGAGAATGTTTTAAACAAGAACAAGAGGAAGTTAGAAAATGCTCAGATAAAGCCTATACATGACAAGTTCTTATTTGCTCAGAATGGTATAACAGGTCTAATTGCACCACCTGGGTCGGGTAAGACTTTCACTTATCTTAAAATGGCTGCACAACAACAAGAACTAGATGAGAAGAACCCATTCTATGAGTTAGTTGTTATTTGTAGTACTTCTGGTCAATTTGACCAAACCGTCAATTCGTTCAAAGATATTATAAAGAAGTCAAAGTTAGTATGTATAAAGGATACTGAGTTGTTAGATTGGATAAAGAAGTACCAAAGAAGAGTTTTGAAGTATAATGCTATAAATGAGTATGTCAATTCGAAGTTTAAAGACCCAAATGAGGAAATGCAGAGAATATTAGAGAAGAAACACTTCAGAAACAAACAGAAAGAGATAGAATACATTTCGAAGAAATTGCAATCTTACGATTGGAAAACGTACCCTCACAGATGTCTTCTTATCTTAGATGATTTCGCCTCTCATCCTTTGTTAAAGAATAGAGAACAAGATATGTGTCGAATTCTTAAGAAGCTCAGACACTTTAACATCTCAGTTGTCATTTGTGTACAGACAGCAAAGAGTTTAAGTAAGGATGTAAAGAGAATACTTACTGACATAATACTTTTCCCCGGATTGTCCGAAGACGATTTCATGGAACTTATGAAAGAGTCCATGGCAGGTAAGTTTGACAGACATGAACTATGGGAGAAGTACAAAGTCATACAAGACCCTCATACTTCTTTCAGAATTCATATCTACGCAAACAAAGTTCAAATTGTAAAAAGTCAAGCTTGAAAAATAAAGAGTGCAATTTACTCTACTTGTTTGAAGTTGTCAAAATACTCTGTTATTTTTTCCTTTAACAATGGCAAATCTTCTTTGAAGGTAAGAATTGTACAACCTTTAATATCATAGTGTGTTTGAGGTAACGTATCTTGAACTATTTGTTTCACATCTTCATTTGGAGTCATTGAAATCGGTAAGTTTTCGCGATAGAACCAATTTCTGTCAGATTTGTAAATCTTAGCAAGGTCGTAAAAGCTTTTGTTGTTTCTTCTGACTAAATGCAACATAACCATATCTTTATCTTCTTCATTTTCCATCTCTTCAGTATAAATCATATACTTATAGTTCTTTTCCTTACCTTTTGGTACCGAACGTGGTATTCTTTTCTGAATGCTTTTGTCTTTTGCTTCAAGCTTGTTTTCCATCTCTTCACGTTCTTGTCTATGAATTTCGTCAAGAAGTCTGTAAATATACCAAGCATAACGAGGCGAAGCCCACATTGCAACAGCATTTACAAGAAGTCTATGTACATAATATCCTCTCAAACCGTTTGGCAATTTTTCACGATTTTCATAGAGTTTTGGCGACTGGGGTTTTTTACCTACTCGCTGTTCTTCACTGTTTTCATAGAGTTTTGGCGACTGCGGTTTTTTACTTACTCGCTGTTCTTCACTGTTTTCAGAAAAAAGTATGTCTCGCTGTGCTTCGCTCAAAAGTTCTTGTGTGCTTTGGTTCCTAAACCAGTCTTGTGGTTTCTTAGTATCTGGAGCAAAACATGCTGTCAAAATACTTTGCATTTGGTACATATCGTCTTTGACCGAACGAATGAGATGGAGTTGTTTGTTAAACTGAACCCACTCATATTCTTCATTTATAGCTTCATGGACTATAACTGTTGTTGTGTTCTCTGTTGTTGACATATCTGTCTTTACATACAAAATAAAAAAATAAATAAAAATAAAACTAACTTTATTTTCTGACTTTCACAAAAGACCAAAAATAAACGCTTTACATGTATTTTTCAGCAACTTCGTCAAATAATTTTATAGCTTTATCTATCTCATCTACTTCAAACGTTTCTTTACCTTTCATGGGAGCACCATACATTTTCTCAAAAACTTCAAGCAGTTCTGTTTCAGCAGCTCTCATATCATTAACGAACACAACCTTGACTCTATTGACTGTACTGTCATATCTTTGAGTTATATTATATGTTCTTCCTATCTTATATCTCTTTGTATTGAAGTCCTTCGGTTTCTGAACGATGTAAAGTAAGCCTTCACTGCAACGTTCCGTATCGAATGAACCATAAGTTATGAAGTTATATCCAACAACTGGGTCTAACCATAACAAAACTATTGGTATAAGACTTTTGTCTATAAGATATGCTCTTGTTCCATGAAATGCTACTGATATCATAAGCTCAGGATTTCTTGTCAAAATTTTCTGAGTAGAAGCAATTCTAACCCAGTCCTTTGCTTTCTTTCCAGATGGTGTTATAATGTCTGACAAAGAATATTTGTTGTATTTCTTTGAGTATCTTACGTTTAAATCACCTATTCTAACCACTTTGGTGTCATTGTCTATCTTTCTAACTGTTTCAAACTCAATGTTTAACATATCTGTCTTTACATACAAAATAAAAAAATATTTTATAAAAAACTAACTTTATTTTTCTAACTAATGAAATTCATGATTTTTGTGCTGAATTCAATAAAAATAATGTTTATGTTAACATGTTAGATCTAACACGTTTTCTAACCACTTTTCTAACATGGTCTAAAACACACAAAACTCATGAATTCTCGTGAATTTCCTTAAGATAGAAAAAATAATGTTTATGTTAACATGTTAGATCTAACACGTTTTCTAACCTCTTTTCTAACATGGTCTAAAACACACAAAACTCATGAATTCTCGTGAATTTCCTTAAGATAGAAAAATAATGTTTATGTTAACATGTTAGATCTAACACGTTTTCTAACCTCTTTTCTAACATAACTATTTACAAGCGTTTTACATGGTATATGTTGCGATGGTTCATGACTTTAAACAGTTTTGTAGCTTCTATTTCTTCTTTTAGTACATCGAATGTTTTAACTATGCCGAAGGTTTCTTTATACTTCTTCTTGACGTCAGATAATAGGAAATCGTCAGCAGTTGGATAGTTTTTGTTCAGAAATGCTAACATGTCCATTTTATCTTCTGCTGGCTTTTCTGCTTCTTTCTTTAAGTCTGCATAGTCGTTTCTCATTCTTTCTATCTCTTTGACGGAGTAGTTATATTTCCTAATTGCTGCCTTACATTTTGAACATTGCGGGTTCATTTTTGCGTTATACATTGAAATAAAACCAGCTAAAACAACTAAAGCGTCAATTGCTCTCTTCATCTCAAACATAGCGGGTCTTATTTGTTTGTTCCATACTTTGCCTCTTCTATCTTTATCTCTTATTTCCCAAACACATTCAGCAACTAACGAAACAAAGTTGTCGTAGGTCTTAAATTCTTCAGATTTATATATGTCAGAAATATTTTTATAAACCATGTCGCAATCTTTGTCCATAACTTTATGGTTGCAATGAAAACCAAGGAATTCATAATTTACTTTACGTATGAATTTCTTAATTTCTACTGAGTCAGTTGGTTTCACTTCAATTTCGTCGAATTCAGGAATAGTGAGTTTTTGTTGTTGGATTTCAGGTAGTTTAGGCAAATGGTCAATAATGTCCTGCATTTCATAAAGATATTCTTCATTTGTTTCATCTTTCGCACTACAGTCTAAATTACTTGTTAAAAGTTCTTGCTTTATCTTCTGGATTTCTGTTTCAAAAGTATATGAAGAAGGAATGAAGCTTTTCATTTCTACTAACATAGATGTTGGATTCATGACTAACGAGTTTGGTGCTGTTGTTTGAATTGTTGTAGAACCTATTGTTGAAATCATATCTTTTATACAAAATAAAAAATTTTCTTAGAAAAAAATTAGCGTTATTTTTCTTTCATAAGGAAATGTCAAAAATTCATGATTTTCGAGAGTTTTAGACCATGTTAGAAAAGTGGTTAGAAAACGTGTTAGATCTAACCATCTACCCGACATTCTCGTCAAATACAAAAAAATGAAGAATAACTTTCACTTTTTCATTATATAACTGTTATTTTTGACGAAGTGAAGATTTACACTTCGTCAAAAAAATCCCTGAAATCATATCTTTTATACAAAATAAAAAAATAAATAAAAATAAAACTAACTTTATTTTTTCTATCTTAAGGAAATTCATGAAAATTCAAGAGGTTAGAAATGAGGTTAGAAATGAGGTTAGATCTAACCTCTTCACCTAAATTATATTTTTGGTCCGGGAACAACTTTCTCTCAATTGGGGCTATGGCATAATCTTTGCGTAAGCGGTTCAGACCTTCTTCGAACTCTTGGTCTCTCTTCGATTTGGATTGAGATTGGAATTGTGGGGGTGGAGCTTGCTGGAACATCCAAGGGTTGGGGAAGTAAGGCATAGGCTGAGGAGGGTAGTTCGGGAAGCCTTGTGGTGGGTAGTAACCTTGAGGTGGAAATTGGTAGTAATTCGGAGGTACTTGCTGGAACTGAGGTTGCTGAGGAGACTGTTGTGGTTCTTTAGGTTCCTCTGGTTTGGGAATGGACTGGGTTGGTGGGACGTGGGACATTCGTTTGTGGCTTAACCGTCGGACCACAACGATAAAAATCTCTGCTACTAGCAGTACTGCTACTGACAGTAGCAGTACTTTTACTGACAGTAGCAGTACTTTTTCTGACAGTAGCAGTACTTTTACTGACAGTAGCAGTACTTTTACTGACAGTAGCAGTACTTTTTCTGACAGTAGAAGTACTTTATCGTCGAAAACCCTCTCAAATTTTCCTTTTTACTGACAGTAGCAGTACTTTTACTGACAGTAGCAGTACTTTTACTGACAGTAGCAGTACTTTTACTGACAGTAGCAGTACTTTTACTGACAGTAGCAGTACTTTTTCTGACAGTAGCAATGGTCGAGGTCGAACCTACCGACGAGGCAATTTACCTAATTGAAATTAACGAGCTTGTTAAAGACTTCCTCAGGCAGAATGTAAAAGGCAAGCTTGTTAACGGTTGGATAACGGGAAGGGCTGCCTTGAATCTCGAGACTTCGACCGGAATTCCAATTCAAATACCAGAAAACACTCCTTTCGACGACATAAAGCAAGCAAAGAAGGAAGCCATTATAAAGTTCTTTGCCAAGCGTCCTTGGATACTACTTCCAAACAGAGAGAACCCTTTCCCAAGAATTCCCACATTTTAATTCAAATTCGAATAAAAAATTTTTATTTCATGCAATGTTTAACTATTTCACCATCTTCTTTAACACCCCAGTACTTACGCTTGGAGAGGACATGAACTTCGGTGAAAATTTTGTCCAATTTGAATCGACCCATCTTTTCACCGACCATGCCCATTTCAATGAGTTTGTTATAGCCTTCTTCGTTCGTCATGAGTGCGTCAATGTTCTCATAGTAAACCTTGACTTTCGATTTGACTTCGGAGAAGAATTTGTTGTAGTTGTCAAGGACTGCCTTTGCGAACTGAGGGTAAGACCAATGTTCGACAATAGGTTTTAATGTGGTTACTAAGCCACTTTGACCTTGAGTGAATTCGTACTTCAAAACAAAAGGAGAAAACCTTTCAACAAAGTTGTCGACCTTCTCATAATGTTTACTCTTCATCTCTTGAGGTTTCTTAATGGAATATCCCCATGTCGAATTCATAAGCAATTTGAGTGTCATTGCAAGTTTGGGTTTGAAGCTTTCCTAATATCATACAGTTGTTGTATGACTTTTCCAACTGTATAGTTCCTTCCCGGGAACTCACCATCTTCGTTTGGAATTCCAGTCGGAATATATTGGACAAACCTCATGTACGCAGCGTTAAGGTCGACATAGTATATCTTTTCATCTGAGTCGAACTTGTCGCAACCAATTGGTCCAGTTTGTGGAAATTCAAGTGAGTCTCTTATCTTCTGAGAAACTTCTCCTGTTATCTCATAAACATCGTCGAAGCAACCTGTTTCATATAAAACCTTCTGACTTAACTCAGATGCTCTCCAATACAATTTGACGTCAATTGGATGTCTCAATGGAAGTTTGTTTATAGCATCTTGAAGTTCTTGCAACCTCATTGGAAGTTCTTCTGGTTCAGGTTGGTATCCGAACATACCAACTCCTTGTGGAACTGTGTACTTCTTTTGTACTAGAACTTTGTCTGGAACAACTTTTGGTCTTGCTAACAATGAAAAGTTTGTTTCGTCTTTTGGTACAAAAGTTTCTGTCAGCTTGTCATCTGGAATTGGTTCCAACAAACCTTTCTTGAAAAGAATGTTTACAGCTCTGACAATGTTGCACTTGCCTTTTCCGAACAATGGGTTTGTAAGACTTTCGTTCAACATGAAGTGGTTGTGGACAATTACAATCTTCAACCATGGTAAATTGAACTCAACAACATAGTCGTCATGTGAAGAACCTTTAGCTGTAGGTATGTTGACTCGGATATTGACATTTGCCAACGGTGCAATTTTTGCCAATTGACCTCTGAGAATGTACCTTGTCTTCACACATGACTCAAGATACTTCATCTTCTCATCTGTAACAAGACCAGAGTTCCTGAGACATGTAAGAATGCAAGGTTCGTTGACAATTGTTTCAATTGAATTGTAAATTCCATACCTTGTCAAGTCAATGTCAGACTTATTTATGAAGGGGAAGTATCCAGCATGTTGTCTGACTGCTTGAGGGTTAGGTTGGTACCATTCGAACTTGACACTTGCAATTCCTTCAATTGCATTCAAAATGTCTGAGTCGGAGTCAACCATTTGTTCTCTCTTTGTAGTCTTGAAAGCGTCAAGAAGTTTTGCGGCTGTTTGTTCATTGCCATGTGCATAGTAAATGTGACCATCCAAATCTGTTATGGTCAATCTGAGATTGTGTCCTTTCTTATTTCCGTCTTGTATGGCAGCAAGTACTCCCATGAAGCCTTCTTTGTTCTTTCCTTCGTCAAAGTTTACTGTAAAGGTTCGACCAGATGTAATTTGACTTCTAACTTCACGATACTTTTCATATGCATATTTTGTTCTTTCCATGGGAGCATGACCATCCTCTGCACTACCTTTTTCCTTCTCAAAGGATGCAATTGTTCGTCATGTTTCCAGTAGAATCTGGCAAAGCCGTCGTGTCCTTCAACTTGAGGTTCACTAACATCGAAAGGCATGTCCATAAGACGTTCTTCTTCTAACCTCTCTAGTCTGTTTGGATAATTGGCACGTGCTGTTTCCAAATCCATTTCGTAGCGAAGACCAGCCAGTTTGTCATAGACTTTTATGGGTCTTCCCTTCCTATATTTAAAATTCTTCGAAACTCTCCAACCATATCTTTGTAACTCTGCTTTTCTTCTAGCAGACTTTCTATCCATTCTATATGGGGGCATTTTTATAAAAAGAAAAAAAAATATTTTTTTCTTTACTTAACATAACTGCCTGCTGCCATAAGTCTTTGACGCCAACCCATACCAGCTAATGAAGGTTGACTTGGTTTAGTTTGGAAACTAAACTTTGGTTTTGTTTATCTTCAGTTTTTGGTTTTTCTTCTTCTATCGGTTTTTCGTCACTTTTCGGTTCCTCTGACTTTACTTCACTTGCAGGAACAGTTGTGTCGTCAACATCTTCATAAATATCATATGCCATTTGTTTTTGTTTTCCTTTCAACTTTTTGTGTTTGTTGTAAAGTTTAGAATATTTCGACTCTAAGTCAATGAGATGTTCTATAATGAACTGTTGGTCAGTGAAGTAAACTTTTCCATCTGTTGTCTCGAAAGCTCCTTCAGACTTCAATATTTTATTTGTGAGAGTCTGTTTCTTTTTTGAGATACTAGCCGTTCCATTTTTATGAAAAGTGACTTTGTAGTTAGGGTTTGTATTTCCAGACCTGGCACTTTCTATTATTGAATTTTTCTCTTCATCTGTAAGTTCTTTGACAGGTTTTGACAATGGTTCTGAACTTTTTGTTTGTGGTGTCAAATCTACCGTTTCAACTTCTTCGGTCATTTCATCTCAGTAAAAAATTTTAGTTTGGTTTGTTTTCAACTGGTTGTTTAGGTTTTTTAAGTCGGTCTAAAACTTCCTGAGGTATAGGAAGAACTTGACAAACACGTGGTGTAACTGCTGGAAGCCGACAAATCCATCTTGAACTTATTTGTCTCAATGCTGCATTGTTCATTTCATCTCAATAAAAAACTTTACATTCCCCGTTTGAGGCGGTTGCGGTTGGTTATTGTTTTCCCACTGTTGTGCATGTTATATCCTCTGTTAAAGAATCTTTCACCTTGGTCCATATAGTGTCCTGCTTGGTTATAGTAGTCATTTGCTTTGTTATAATAGTTTCCTGCTTGTCTTCCTACATTGTCCATCCATCCTTGAACTTTTCCTCTTGTTTCAGGATTTGGAATAAGATTTGTTGCATCTCGTGCTACATCCCAACCTTTCTGTACAGTTTGTATAATAGGTTGTGCTTTCTCTTTAAGTATACCTAATGTACTCAAAATCTTCCTTCCAACTCCAAATACACCTCTGGCTATTGTTCCCACTGCGGGCAAAAATCTGGATGCAACTCCTGCTAATGCGCAAATAAACCCATTTCTTATGGGTTAAAAAATGACGAATCCAAACAAGGACCCCTATGTT